TTGATGGGCTTGGTGTAGCTCCTCTTCGCCATTTATTATCTCTTCCAAAAACTGCTGGACGTGGTAGTATTGTCCAGGTTAAGGAACTAAGTCTCGAACCTCCTGAGATACCCCTCTCCAGATCAAATCTCAGACCTCTGAAAATAGGATCTGGGTTGGTATTACGGGCAGCATAGAGTCCCAAAAACGCTGGCAGTAATGAGCCATGGACTCTCCCTCATAAGAATCCCAAATGGCCTCTAAAGCCTCATATTGTCTTCTTTGCATATCGTCCCAGATGTGAGGATCTCTCTGCACCCCCTGAGCATGAACTTCAATAGCGCCATACAATACCGACCCATACTCGGCTCTGATCTCCTGCTTGAACTCCCCCCAACTAGGGGATTTGTGTTCAGCTCCCTTCCCGAGCCACCAGGCGAGAGTGTGTCCTAACAATTTTGAGGTAGCCAATCGGACTCTCAACCGCTCGGGGATGTGGCAAACGTCGAAGGCGATCTCCATAACGTTGATCCACTCCATTAGCAAGTACGGTGGTCGGTGACCGGAGAATATATGCACACGCATGTCCACGAATACGATCATAGCTCTACGATCCTCCTCGATCTCTCTGGGGTCTATTGGCGCGCCATACTCTATTGTAACGTAATAACATTAACATTAATATTTACTCATATTCTACTATTTACATGAATTTCTACTTACTTGGACTGGGGCGGAGTAGGCACATGACGGTGTGGAGTAGGATGGCAGGATACCGACTCTGATACCAACTATGATGACCCTCCTTTGAGGCCGCCACTGTAGCTAACTTTTTAACTTGTACTTACTGAAATTCCTTAAAAATTTTCAGAACATTTTTTTTTTTTTAAAGTCCCATTGTAAACATAAGATACGAATTGCTTTCTTAACAAAATATACAACCTTAACATATCTGTTCTTCAAAGCATATAAATATAACTATATATATGTATCAACTCCTTAAATTTTACTTACTAATAGCCATAATCCTCAAAACCACTTAACATATAGTTTCAGAGTCATAATTAGCAAAACTATTTATAACATAAAACTGATTGCGAAAATACTGTGAGCGGTATCCATTTCCCGATCTCCACATCATTCGTCCACTCGTCGTCAGTCCATCAGACATTATATGCCGGTTGCTTACCTACAGTATAAACATTCTATAATGAGCTTTCGCTCAGCAAGTACGAACTACCTCTCTCAAGATAACTGTGAGTTCACATGAATAAATATGCATGAGCCAATTATGTTGAATTATGATGTCTTATCAAGGTCTTATTATCTTAACTTATCTTCTCTTTCTTTCTTACTGATGGGTCCGAGTGCTCGTACCACTAGCGCGCAATCATCGGGACGTGAGGGTTTACAAGGTCCCCCATGACACCGAGATAATATCTGAACTGAATGCCTCCCTCTCAGAGGACATTAGTATATATTTTTTTTCTTCTCCCTTGGGAGCCTGGGTCACCTCCCTCTCAGAGGCTGGTACGGCACTCAACTGGGATTATTCTTATAAGTTCCTCTTGACTTATTAAGGAGTATGCAATATGACATAACATAGCATACTATAATATGGAATGTACTCAACCACATATAATTCATGTGTACTGCTAAGTGTATGCAGCATGACGTAGCATAGCCTACATAACATTTCGTGTACTCAAACACATATAATTCATGTGTACTATTTATTTAAATTAATGACGGCGTTGGACCCACATTAAATCTTTAAAATTCTATGGACCTATCATATTGGGCTCGTAGGTGCCCGTCGGGATTATTTGCTCGATAAACCACTAAGTTCTTTGATGACTTTTTGTTAAAACCGACACTGTTTTAGTTTTGTTTTGTTAAAAACTGTGCAGTTTCTTAAATCTGCATTTTACTACATCTTAGAGTCGAATTTCAAAATTTTGTTCTTCGCGACAATTCTTCGTCTCGTCGAGATCTAAAATTGTTGTTTTTAATGAAAGTTAAAATTCAGCATCTAAAGGCCTCGTTTGGCTGAAAATAGTGGCTGCTATTTTTTTTCTTTTGCTGTAGGAAATGCTGCAGCAATCTTTTAAAATGTTGCGGATGCTATAATAATGTTGTAGCAAAAATTTTCTTTTTGAAACTGTGATGGACAACTTGTCCATTTTTTATAAAATGGCCTCAAACTTGCTTTTAGAGTTAAAATTAGGTTTTGGCATAGACACAGAAGATGTTCAAAACGTCGAGGGCTATAAGTTCAAACTTTGAAACACCGAAAAATCTCACTCTAGGGTTCTCATTTTCGTGTTCAGAGTAACCGGAAATTTTTCCTCTAACCGGAAGTAAGCAAGCTTAAATCAAGCATAAGCATACCACATCAAACTAAGCTAAAAGCTCACAAAACTAACATAAAACTCACACACCCTTATTACAACTCATCTCCTCAAGAACCACAAATTTACATCCATAAATCCAAGCTTAAAGTTGGCTAGAAATTAATGGAGAAGAGTTTAGAAAAAAAAAAACTTACCCTTGAAGAAATCTCTCTCTTTCTTGAAAAACCTTTGAACTCCACTAAGACTTGTTAATGGCTTGGAACTAGAAAGTATAAGAAAATTTGAAAAGACATTTCTATATTTCAAACTTTACCCCAACATGAAAAAGAAGAGAGGATTTAGAGTTTCTTTACCCTTGGAGAGATTTTTGTCTAGACTCCTCCTAAACCCTTTGATCTCCTTCTTCTTCTATTGATTGCTAGTGGCTCAAACTTGGGAGAGTGGAAGAAAATATTTGAGAGAAAAATGGAGGAGTGTGGCCGGTTTGGGTGTGGGGGAAATGAGAGGAGATGTACAAAAATGGCTAACCTAATGCTTTCACTAATGGTCTCACCTTTATAGACATTACTTGATCTCATCTTAGTTCTCATTTAAGCCTATCAAACTAGCTTAATTAGCTAGATTTTTGGATTAATCCCCCCCTTTATTGTGGCTGGCTATATCCCCCCCCCCCCCCCCCCCCCCTTTATTGTGGCTGGCCGGTGGAGTGCTTCAAGAGGGAATGGTGTAAGCATTTCATGTCCAATAGTTGATTTGACTCAATCCCATCATGAAGTCCATCTAGCACACTTCACTAGCCAAATTTTTGGCTATAATCCCTTAAGTTTGGCCGGCCAAGTGAGGGAATGAGAGAGAAAAATGAAACCTAACCCTTGTACCTTTGTCTACTTTCTAAATTTACTCATTAAAACTATCCAAAATTATACTGACAGCTATTTTCTCCTGTATACGGGTACTAGATGCTAGTTTGTATTGTAATTGGAGATTCTTAAAATTAAGATTCTCAAACTGTATCTATACTGGAAATTTTTTCGTTTTAAAGTACGGTGAGAATTTATCGATCGAATTTACTTGATCAGAAAAACGTGAACTTAACGTGAAATCTATTACAGAATTTAGGAATGCAGATGTTAATTCCATAAATCCTTCAATAAAAAAAAAATGTACATAATATATATTTTTTCAGGAAAAATCTTTGACTTAAATACATGAATTTCATTATTTAAATTATGAGATTTTCTTGGTCACTACAAAAGCTGTCATTTTCAAAGTTGCCATCGCCAAAGTCTCACCTCACCCAAGCCATCAACACCCACAACACCGCCCCCAAGACACTCGCCCACGCGGTCATATGATTTAGGGTTTTTTTTTTAGTTTTTATATGAGTTTATAATTTATTAATAAATTAGTTATAGAGATGCAATATTCCCCTCGAGGCCCCGCCTTGAAAAAGATGGGGATAGAGGACAATACTTAGGGATAGGGGCGGGGATAGAGGATAAATATATACTTTATATAAATAAATCTATACATTTTAATTTTTTAGATATAATTAGGTCTTTTGTGGATTTATGATTAAGACATGATGTGCATATATTTAGAATTTGATTTGTTTTGTGCAAACTTTCATTTTGGGTTAAACCCATCGTTATTTTTTTTTTTTTTTTTTTTGGTTATAAGTTACTTTAATTTTAAAACACATTATTTTATTAGATAGGTAATAAGGCGGTATGAGAACGGTTCCGCTAATAGGGAATCTCCAACCTCAACCCCACTTCTCCTTATGCGGGCGGGGATGTGAGCGGAGATGGTGAAGATTTTAGGAGGTGGGGACGGGGATGATTTTATGAAGCGGGAATAGGACGGGAAATCATTCCTCACCACCGCCCTGCCCATTGCCATCCCTAATTAGTTGTTGGATTTGGTGTGAAATTGAATCAATTGATGCGATTTGGGTTATGTGAATATGTAGTAGGTACCTCCTCACAATGTGATTGTCATTGTTGAGGACACGAAGCCAGGAGCATCGCGATCTTTGTGGTGATTGGAGCAACACAATCGCCACGTCGCAGTATAACTCTCACTGACAGTTGATCGTGTCAGTTGGTTGTAGAGGTGATCAGCCGTGGCCCATGGGTGAAGGAGCGTGAGGCAATCAATGGGGAGGGGGGCCTGTGTCACCGACGGGGTTTAGGGGTGTTATTATTGCCGTTGTGGGTTGAAAAAAATACGCTATGGTTTGAATTAGGATTGCAAAAGGATAATATGATAAGTGGTCAAAGGAGAGTGAAATGTCAATTAGTGCAAATGAAACACCAAATTAGCTTGTGGCGCTTTAGCAAAATTAAATAAATAAATAAATAAATAAAATAACTTTGTGGCATAAATATTAATAACACAAGTGCAATTTCAGGCACATAGCATAATTTTTATCTTTGAATTGACAAAGGTGTTCGTGCAGATCCGTAACCTGATCGAATTTGACAAACTTTCGGTCCACAAACTTGGGGCAAATCATAGCCCTCTGCTTTGGCCGATGTCGAAACTTTTTATTTTTAGTATATTACTTTATAAAAGTCGAAAATTTTCATATTCCAAAAACAAAACATACAAATGAGCATGCAGGGCCCTTCAACATCCCTTTTTGAAGTTCAACGATTCTATTTTAGTTTTTACAAAGCTAAAAAAATTGAAAATGTTTCTACATTTCGGAGACGTTGGAAGGCAAAAGGGTGGAGCCATAGGTTGATTGGATCATTTGGATAAACAAAGGAAGCTTTAACAGTCCAAATATACTCACCGGAAAAAATGATAACAAAATGATAGGACCAAAAACCCATTGTAGCCTCTTGCTGAGTACAATAAAGAGTGTTGCAGCGAAAGCTATCATCATTGTGGCAATTGCAAAGAAGAGAGAAGCCAGACCTATTATCAACCTCTCTGGTAATGATTTGAGGAAATCTTCTTCCGCATAACGGGCAGTAAGAATGGACAAGAACATCAAGAGAGAAGTTAAAGAGGAAAAGAGTGCTAGTGCATCCGAAACGGCAAACACCAAGAATGCCTTGCTCCACAAGAAGATCGGAACTCCGTCATTACTATCATTACCTCCGGGCACGGTAAAAGCAGCGGCAAACACAACGGTAGTAATCAGAGTCGAAACAATCATACAAGAATCTGATGTATCTTTCATCCATTTCTCTCCCGCTTCAGCTAGTTGTTTGTGCTCCCTTTTAAATAACTCCCATGCAGTTAAGTTTTCTTCATTTGTGTTTTCCACAGTAGTAGGGTACATCAATTTCTCCACAGCCTAAAACAAAATATTTACCAAGAAACTTTTTTAAATATACACGTGATACATAATCAAGGCATTAAATAGACCCCACTATAAGTGACACTATTCAAACTATTACTGACTAAAAAGAACTTGTGGGTACTTAAATAGTACCATAATAAATGTACCTCACTTCTAGCCAATGTCGAACTCACCTCAGTGGCAGGGTTATCAATTTTTTTTTTTTTTTTAATGAAACATAGTAACACGTAAAACCCACAAACAGATTGACCACAAAGGCCTTTAAAAGGAGGTAACATAATGGCCCGTAAGTGGATTCCATTAAATGACCCTACCTTTGCAGTTGTGGCCCTGAAAACTTGATGTTTGATACAAGGTACTGGTTTTTCCTTCTTTTTTTTTTTTTTCCCGGAACCTCAAACACGAAAGTCGCCTATAACATATAATTTCATATGTATTTGTCCATTTTTTTTTTAATATACTTTAAAAAAGGGACATCAAAGTAATGAACATTCCATATACTCTACCTTGAACCATTGTATTTCTCGTTGCATTTGAAGGGCTACACCAGACACAGACAAGAGTTCGAGAGAAGGCGCCAGTGTCGCTGTTTTATGCAAGAGTGTAGTTGAAACTTCATAATAAAAGCTAGAGTCTATGGCAAAGCATGATTTATCCCGGATCAAAAATTTGAAAATCTCATCATGCCGATTTTTAACCGCAGCTTCAAGCAAAGAATAGTCTTTATCCTTTAGACGGACCCAGATTAGCTCTGGACATAGTTGGAAACATATCCTTAATATCTCAATTATCCCGGAAGTTGTGGCTCGGTATAGGATTTGATAACCCATGAAACCCTCTTCAATAGCATCCATTTTGATAATTTGCCCGCAAACTAAGTTTACCAATTCTATGGCACAATGGTGCCTGCGTTTTTTTTCTTGGATTCGCCAAATAAAATCGGGTGCTGCAAATTAAATTGCAGAAAAATATTTTTGATAAATGAATTAATTATACACAGGAAATGTTTCGACTAAGGCACCTGAACCAGTAATGCAATTGTAATATTTTTCATTGTCATTATAACATCGTCTGTATTTTTGTAATTAACACGCAATCTGATTTAATGTAACACTCGACAACGTTGAGTATTACACTTGAGATAAATTGAGTGTTACATATGAACGTGCAAACGATGTTACAATAGCAAACAAAAAATGCTACAAAGTGCTGAATTTGAGACTTTTCTAATTGTATATAGCGTGAATTAAAACATTCAAAGTAGTATAAGGTTATCTTCTATGTATACCTATTACTTTGGAAATGTTGAAGAGCACTCGTCGGAACCAATGAAGCACTGCAGAGCAATCTAAAAGAAAGATAAAGGTCAATATGTAGTTCGAATTGATCAAGCAACTCATACAAAAGCACTGATATAGCAGGAAAAGCATAGTGAACAACAATACATTGTTGATTTAATTAGTAACATGTGCTATTGAATAATTTTAAGCCAAAGATGATCGGTAATATGAATACTAATGTATCTTCAACTGGATCGACGCATCTTGATCAAATGGACATGGACGTCGGTACAACCTAATTATAAGTAACCATAAGATCTTTAAGTACTTCTGCATATATATACATGTTCTTTTCACTCATACCTCTCTAGTACTCACCAGAAGATTTCTTATGGATAATGCATCAATGATCATGTGGTATATCACACGTAAAATTCCTTGAGATTATGTAGGTAAGGAAAAAAAAAAAAAGAATTAACGGGTCTTTTGTAGAGTTTTCAAAATTGTTTTGTATTTAGTATGATGATTGAAATGTTGTTGTGATTGTTTATGAAATTACCTTACTTCGTTATTTTTATCAGAGATTATTTTAGGTATAAAAAAAGTGAAGTTGTGTTTGGGTATATTTATAAAAATGTTAATTTGTTAAGTTATAACATTAGAAAATAGAAATGAAAATGTGAAAAAACTTCCAACCATTTTCCATTTCCTTAACAAAAATCATTTTCTCCATTTTTTTTATCTTTGATTTCATTTCTAAAACATTTACTAACCAACGGTAATTCAGAAAACGTTTTCATTTTCTTGCCTCAAAATGCATAAATATTTTGAAAAACAAATGAAAACAATTAAATGACACTAATGTTTTTATGGTCAAAATTAATATAATTAACTTGGAAATATTACTATTTAATTTTGCAGTCAGTAAAACATTTTTAGATCAATATCACTTGTGCCTTTTGAGTTCTAACGATATTCTCATTTTTACTCCTAAACTTTAAAGCTCTCACTATATCATTTTAGCTTCGAATTAGTCCCACTTAACTTTCTATATTAATTTTTTTTTTAGAACATACAAAAAAACAACGGATTAATTGGGGATGGATTTTTTCTGCTTATTTTTTATGAAAACTATCATAAAAATGCCAGGTTACCGTACACAACCCCAACCTCTCTTTTCCATCCGTTTTTAATGGATTCTAATATAGTGGGAGAAGTGGGACTTGTTCAAAATTGGAAGGGCAAATTAATTCTTAAAGTTTGATAGATAAAGTGGGAATAACCCGGAAATTCATGGGCTAGCTGCAAAGATGAAATACGTCACTATAAATTGAGCACCTCCACGCTACCAATTATCATTTTGGTTCTCTTATCGAAAAGCCTAAAAAAGAAAAAAGAGTTCACTATATGATAAATTAGAACTAATATTGCTAGCAATTGGAATCCTTAACTTGGTCACATAATATGAATAAAACCGCGTTCCTACGCTTATTCAACAACAAAGCACAATCACCAGCACATAATTCTTTTCTCACCGACATATGTGTGTGCACAAAAATTTAGGCAAAACAAAAAAAAAAAAAAAAACCGTGCTTTGCCATCAATGCGTGCAGTACTAGAAGATTTTAGAGGGCTATCTAAATAGTAATACAGAAAAATTACCTTTATGGGGATCCCCCGCATTGCTTCTAACGGAAAATGGTAGTTCAAAACTCCTCCCAATTACAGGAATAACTAAATATATAGTACCGGAGAAGAAATTCATTACTAAAGTACGTACAAAAGTATACTATATAATGAAAAAGTACTTTCTTACCTTAAAAAAAAGTAATATAATGAAAAAGTACTTTCTTACCTATAATTAAAAAAAAAAAAAAAAAAAAAAAAAAAGTAGTTGCTTATATATGAGATTACGTGATGTTATTCTAACAAATGAAATGAACTGCTTACTTGAGTAGATGCATCTTTGCCAAAATCCAAACCTGCAGCCACTCAAGAAGTTCAAGGGAGTTTCAGCCAATTCAGAGAGAAGAGCAGCCGCATTCGATTTAGAGTTGCTCAGATAACCCGGAAACCGCTCAAGTAGATACAACAAAACATCTATAGAAAACAAACGATACCTCATCAAAATCAGATGGACAATGTTGAAGGGGAAAAAGAACCGTGCACTTTTTTTTTTCTTTTTTCCTTTTACAGCTCTCACTTTGCTCATCAAATAAAACTACTAAGATTCGAACTCTAGAGAATACAGTTACACACTCACGACTACTTGAGCTAGCCTCATCAAGTGGCCACAAGAACCATGCACTAGCTAACATACAGTGCAAATACGAGATTACCAATCATGGGTTCATAATTATGCACTTGCATAGAGTTTTTTCCCCTTCATGAAATTAGAGATCAGTAGGCATCTGGCACCATTAGATCCCGTTTTTTTTAAATTTTAGCAAATACAATCCAATTAACTGTTAAAATGTTAGCAACTTAGGTGATGTTTGGAGTTTGGTATATGGGTTCTACTACAGTGCAAACCCATACTTTTAGTTCTGATATAGTATTTTTCTCTCATAAAAAAATTTAAACTTCAAAAGTTATAATTAAGAACCTAGTTTGAATCATGATATGAACTCATATACCAAACGGTTTAGGCCCTTAAAGTTAACATCCCCGCGCTAATGTCTTATAATTTTGTTTAGACGTGATTATCATGTGTACGCCTTTTGCATCTAAAGGACTTAAGTGCCCCTACTCCTATTGGCTTGTTTTCTTGATTTAACTGGCGCAAGGGAGTGGTGATGGATCTTCTTTTTTTTTTTTTTTTTTTTTTT